AAGTATACCTTTAGGAGACATATTAAAGCTGCTATTTTACGCAAACATAAACTTGGTATTCCGAAGCACCTTGAGTCTATGGTATTGCTGCCTTCCAGCAACAGTTTATTCTTCTAATTTATACTAATGAAACACTAACATTTAATTTGATTATTCTATTTTATTATTATTTCTAGGTAGACCTAAACTAACAGTATTAACCATAATTAATTTGTTTCTATAGACACATTTAATTTTTAATTTTATTTTTTCCTTTTTATGCCGCTTAACGGAACACTCCTGCGCAGCGGTTTCGTCGTTTTTTCACGTTTCCTGCTACTTCGGGCGTAGCAGAATATCAGTGTGCTACTCTAACTGAGCAGCAACTACGCTGAGCTACGGCCGTTTTGTCACCACAGCGCACACATGCAATGCGTTGCGTGCTTTTGTGTTGTAAAAAAAAATGTCTTGTTTGTTTGATTATGTTTTATCATTGTTATTATATTATAGCATAGGTAATGCTTGTATTGTAATTTTCTTGTGTAATTTGAGCTGTGTTGTCCTTTTTTTTTTTTAATTTGTTCTCTCGAATTTTTAATATGTATTGCATGTGTGTATTTTGTGACAAATAAATCATTTATCTATCTATCTATCTATCTATCTAAAAGGCGGCGTGTTTGGATTGACTCGGGATTCCTTAAAACGGGCCGGTATGGGTATTCTAGTTCGAGATTCGTAAAATTTCGCGTTTTGATCTTCGATTAAGGCACATTAGCACTATCCCATTCCACTTTAAACTAGATTTCACAAAATAATTGAAAGTCAAAATAAAAACGACACTTTTCCCTCCAAAAGGTCCAGAGCGAATCTTAACTTTTTCTTATAATTAAAATAAAAACTGATGTTTTAAGGTTCAACTGTTTTTCTTTCATCTACATTGACTTACAAATAAATGGTCGACGGGTCTAATACAAAAACCACGAAAAAAATGTCCCAAGTCAACCTATTTAAACGTAGTGACATGTAAAGGAACATGAAAAAGCTAAAACGTTGAATTTAAATTGTAATGTCATCGCAGTACTGTCCAATTTTGCTTGCTTCGCTGTCAGTCGAACAAACGAAGACTACGTGAATGACGCTCTGTATACGATTTTAACGCCCTATAAGTTCGGACACTTTTTAGCGCGGACCCGACGTCCATAATAATTGTAAGTCAATGTTCATCTACCATTTTCCTCGCTATAGTGAGCTGAAAAGTTATGTGTTTCGCTCGGCAGCAAAATTGTTTTGCTTCTCGTGTCTTGAAACCCTCGCTACGCTCAGGAATCTCCTTTTTCGCTTCACTCGTGGTTCAATCTTAGCTTCCTTGGCTTGCTCAGGTTTCATTCAAAGCGCTCTCGTCAAACAACAACTTTGCAGCCTTGCATAACAAATAACTATTAGTATATTTTCATTGGGCCGTTAGCGCTTTTTCCATTCTAGTTTACTGGGTTTTAGGAGATTAGTAGCAGAAGAGCTCATTGTGAAAGAGTACGTCCAGGGAAGTACTGCCACCGTACCTATTTCTGCCACCAAGCAGTAAGGGTGCTGGTGAAATTACAGGCACATGAGACTTGTCAACTTACGTCTCAGGGTGACGGGGCATCATCATCACTATCAGGCGCACGACTTGCCCTTCACTGGATATTATAAAACAAAAAATAAAATTACATGCTGTTTAGTTCTATGGCTCAGACATATATGGCATACATAATAATATATACATAATGGCTTATTACCTTATCAGGTGCTAAATGGTTCAAGCGTCGCAAGATCCTAACGCCAACCTTCCACTTCAACATCTTGAAGAACTTTGCCTCCGTCATCGAGGAGAAAAGTCGCGCTCTGGTGTCCAAATTGAAACAGCAGCAGAATGAAGTTGACGTGTTCTCAGTCGTCAGTGACTTCACGCTTGATACCATTTGTGGTAAGAATATCTTGTCATAGTCATTATCAGCTATTATACGTCTCATTGCCGCCATCTTTGAGGTCCCGGATTCGATCCAGCCGGGTCAATGTAGAAACTACATTTTCTATATTGAGTGTTTATGGTACTGTCGTTGTTCCCGATTTCCATAATATAAGTACTTTAGTTACTAATTTTGAATTCAGAGTGACCTATGTGATGTTGTCTACTATATATATACACGGGTCTCGAGCTGAGGACCCGTAGCTCAGTTGGTAAAGAACAATGCTACGGTGCAGCAAGGACGTGGGTTCAAGTCCCACCGGGACTACGAAATTTTCCTGTATATTCGATCTTTGTAATCATAATCACAAGATCATTATATATAAATATTAAATTTAATTAAAATATAAAGAAATTAGAGATTTAAGTGTTAAATTATAAAGAAATTATAAATATAAAAGTATAAAATGACAAAGAGCATCCGCATCCGCCTTACGGGAAAAGTGGAATGGTGTGTCGTCTAGGTCTCTGTTTTTTTTATACGTAGCGTAAAGATGACGTCATTTAGTAGCGGTGAACAATTTAGGGCGGTTACACGCGCGCGATTTTAAGCAGCGATGCAAGCGCGCGACAGCATCGATACAAACGCGCAATTGCATCTCTACACTTTAGATTTATGCTCTGGCCACACAAAGGTGGCCGCGGAAGTGTTTCGGGCGCGGAAATTTTTGTAATGTACGAATTTATATGAACACACGGCGGCCGCCTCTGTGTGGCCTGAGCATTTATAGGCGGTTGCATCGATGCAATCGTCTATAAATCGCAGGTGTAGCGATGCATCCCTGCTAAAAGACTTCGCCGAGTGTAGTGCAGTTGATATAACAACAAATTAACGCTCGACAGATATAATTAATTTAAGGTATAAATATATTTGACATATTTTTGCCTGATGTAAAGTATTATTGGGTAGGTATAATGAACGATTGATATAATAACTTTCACTCTAATATACCGATGGCATAACGTAAATTATATGTAAACATTTCAGAAAAAAATGTTCAAGTCAAGTGAGTCAAGATCAAAAACGAAGTTAAAAAAATTCTTACTTTTCATAGATTTCTCACAGATGGCGCTACAGCAACAAGTCGTTAAAAACAAAAAACAAAGATCTGGAAAAAATCGTGAGGTTTGTTAGTTCGTTTCGTGGCATCGGTTCGAATCAAAGGACTTTTTTCTAAGTGTTCTTCTAATTAATTATAACAAACTAGTGGAGTAATTTCACAAAAAATAATTGAATATCATGGTGGTGAAACTCTTGACATTCAATAAAACAATTAAAAATTGTTACGTTATTTTAATTTTTACGGTTCTGTGAAGTAAGCATTTATAACCTCAACAGAGACGGCTATGGGAACCCAGCTAGACCACGACAAGTCAAAAGCCACGGTGGAGTACAAGACTGCTGTAATCGAGATTGCAGTCGCGGTAATGGATCGCGTGGTGAAGTTCTGGCTCCATAATGACTTTGTCTACCAGATTCTACCTGTTGGGCACCGGTTTAAGCAGGTAAACTTTCTTATCATGTCAAGGGACGCGATGAACAAGTAGTGGCTTGATGGGAAGCGACACGCCTACTCATGAAAGCCTTTTTCGTACTCCTGCACTTGATTGTGTCAAATATAATTACATAAGCCGTATCACAAAGGAGCTTTTTTAGTTTTGAATCAAAATTCTATTGTCTATAGTACTCGCTATTGAAGTGACTGTACTATAATGTTTGGTCTATTTCTCTTTTTACTGTAAACAGCCCTATTTATTTAGTAATAATATGGTCCCTGGTTTTTATTTTTTGTTTTATTATTATTTTTTATTTACTACGCAAATAAATAAAAACCAATACTGCCAAACTAGGGGGTCGATTCAGAACTTGCGATAACTCAGACGACGGTACTATAAACACCCAAACCAGAGACAATATACAAAATGTAGTTTTCTACATAAGGTCAAAAATACAGTGATGTGGAAGGTCTGTTACAAACTATAACGTGACAGAAACCTACATCTAACATATGACATGGATGAGTTATAGTAAATACACACATTGTCACACGCATACGTGAAAAGGCACACACCCATAAACAATCATTAAAATTCTTGTAAAGTCTACTTGGGAAGAGCGGGGTCTCCTGACACTGGTATCTATATACTTAAAAGGAGTATCCAGGCCACTAGTCTCCGTTATATCTTTTGTTAAAAAAATTTAAATTTTGCGTTTTGTATTATTGCATTGTATTTTACATTGAACCGGCTGGGGATCGAACCCGGGACTTCAGAGATGGCGACATTATGATAACCGGTGTGAAAGCGACTAGACCACAGAGTTCGTCGAAAATCATCACCCCAATTTATACGATCCCACGTCAGGGCAGGGATCTCCTCACCGCGGGTTGGGGACTTGACACGTTTTCCGAGTGACTCAGACTTTACACGTTTCATTTACCGAAAAGCTCATGGTAAATAGCGGGCTTTACACAGGCACACTATCGCGCGTGATAGAGTAAACGTGCGCGATTGAGTAACGATCTTGGAAGGAGAAGGGAAAGACCGCTCGCTTGCCACTCACGATTGCGCGTGTAGTCCTGTACGCTCCTAGATCACTATAAAATCCCTGGGTAAAGGGGGTTAATTCAAATTTAGGCCTCTGCTTGATAGGTTGTAAGTCAAACCAATACGTAGGCTATCACGGCTTAATGTAAAGTGATAGTAGTCAAATTTTAAATGTGTTTTTTTTCTAGGCCCTAAAAAAGGTCCATAGTTTTGCAGACAACGTCATATTACAAAGGAAGAAACAGAAAGCTGATGGAGCTGATTCTACTACGATTGAAGAAGATAATATTGGGAAGAAGAGACGAGTGGCCTTGTTAGACTTACTGCTGGAAGCTGAGAGTAAAGGAGAAATAAATCTGGAAGGAATCAGGGAAGAGGTTAATACGTTTATGTTTGCGGTAAGTGCAAACCGTGTTATTATATGAAAGTTAACAGAGTTTGTTCAGTTATATGTATGTACAGTTGTATGTGGTTGGTTCAATATTAGGGACTCACCACATTTATACATGTAATCGCCTTGAGCCGGCCAGAAAAATTTTTAACCCAAGCAATAAGAGCAAAATCAAATAAGACATTACGCGTTTCGCGTGGGCGATCTGAGCGGAATATCATATTAACTTTATTATTATTTTATGATATCAAGTGACACGACGAACAAGTCGTGCACCTGGTGTTAAGCGACATGCCTATCCGCAGCAGTTGCAGTGCCACTCAGAGCTTTAAATCGCAAAGATCCTTAGGACACAGAAACTGCGCCTGTCACCCAGAGACATAAGTTGACAATTCTAATGTGCTTGCAATTTCACCAGCACCCTTACCCTTCAAAACCGGTACACAGCAATGCCCACGTTACTGCTTGGCGGCAAAAATAGGGAAGGTGGCAGTACTTCCCCTGGCGAACTTTTTCACAGGGAATTTAAAGGGTAAATGTTGCTAGTCTCCTGGGCATGGTGTCCCAGGGTACGGCCCTCAGAGGAAATTTTCTATATTCAAATATTATATCTATGGTTGAAGAAAAGAATTGTTTGCGTCATTTATATAGCATCTGATTAGAAGTTAGTATAAGTGGAATGAAAGTTGTCAGTTCATAGTCGATATTTAAACAGTATATATAATATACAATATCTATCTATACCTAAAATGGACACTACGCCGACATAATTTTTGGATCGGTTCTGTTTTTATTTTGTTGTTTTTTGTTTCTGTACTTTTTCTTTTACACAAAATTCGTTATTTTTTGGAATTTTGTTTTTTTTCACAAAATTTGGGGGCATAATATTAGTAGATAAATACTTTTGGCTGTTTACGAAAATAACTGAAAATGACCAAGAAATAAAGTTAAAGATATGTATAAAACTATAAATTATTTGTCATTTAATGTGTACAAATGTTTATTTTTTGCTTATTCTTCTCATAATATATTTAACTTTTAATTACTTTTTTTTATCTCGTATTTTAGTTTACGTATTTTATTGTTTCAGGGTCTGGACACCACAGCTACTGCTTTGACTTTCGGACTTATGTTACTAGCAGACCACGAAGAAGTTCAGGTATATCGAGTTCTTACGTTTTCGCGTTTGCTACATATAGGAAATGAAACCTAGTCGTTTGTTATTATTTCTTTTTTTTAACAACATTAAACGGGACGAACAAGTCGTGCACCTGATGGTAAGCTACACGTCTATCCATAACAGTTGGAGTAAGGAGCTCTGCTGCTTCTAAAATTTTCTTTTATTATACTATGTTATTTTATGTTCTCTTATTTATACTATGCTACAACTGTTATTTGTACCTGTTCATGTAGTTATTTCATATTTTATAATAAAAATATACCAAATTTGTTAAATTTTCAGGAGAGAATATACGAAGAATGCCGACACATATTTGGGGATTCTGACAGGATAGCCAGCATGTCCGACCTCGCCGAGATGAAGTACCTGGAGGCAGTGCTAAAAGAGACTTTAAGGCTGTACCCGAGCGTGCCTTTTATAGCCAGGGAGATCACGGAGGATTTCATGATGGGTGAGTTCTTGTTAGTTTAGTCCACAGATTTACAAACTTTATAGCTCGCCGCCCGTTTAGGCAAGACAAAAAAATATTAACGCCCACCACCACAAAAATAATTGAAAACACGTATTTTTCATATCAACTTAACTTAAAAACAATCTCTGGGAAAACATATATATATTTGTAGGAGTGGTAGGGACGCCTTACCACTCCTACAAATATATAACTCGATTCCCGCCGGCTTCCTAAAACTTTTCAATACGTAATTTACTATTATGGTACACAATTTAAATGATGAATAAGTTAATCAGTGAAATGAAGGGTACTGTATATTATCTTGTGTGCTAATAAGTGTTTTGCTTAATATAAGCAAGTTGTCTTTGTAACGGCAAAATAAGTTTTTGTTAAGATGGGTGTTTTTGTTTAGACCGGCTTTACTAACGACTATTTTCATGCATCGGCACTGATTTGTGGTGTAATTTATATAGATAAATCAGGTGATTTTTTTTGGAGATCGTACTAGGCAATTAAACCTGTATTACTAGAGCTCACCAGACCTTTACCCTCTCAAAGTAGTCTTAATTAAAGCCAATAATCTTAAAACAAAAAAGAATATATTATTGAGCAATAAAAATTGTAAATATTTACAATATTTGAACGACATTGCAAGGAAAAAAAACTGATGAACTGAAAACCTCCAGGAAAGCGTACATAAGGTCATAATATATATTTTTACTTTTTATTAGGAAATTGTTATTGTGTTTTTGTGCACTTCGTAGTGAATATTGGCAAAGTAAAAAAAGCTATACAATGAATCATACACCGGCACAGAAATTTTCGGGCCTAAATGACGTGGAGGAGTTTCTGGGCCAGTTTGAGGCAATTAGCGTGATAAATAACTGGTCGGATGGGCAAAAAAGATATGTAATTGCGACGTATCTGGAAGGGCCAACCTTGCAGTGCAACTAATTAATATTCACGGCCATTTATGTAATATAAACACCTTCCAAACTATCGATTAGCGCCGTCTTGATATACGACGGGATTTTGACCTTTTTCATAGTTACAATCTGTAGTATGGATTAGCAATCCTCTCGAGTTATTGGTCAATGGTATTTAATAAAGAATATTATGTTTTCATAGGAGACATTCTCATAAGAAAAGGCGTAGAAGTCGGCATTCATATGTACGACCTCCATCGAAGATGGGACCTCTTTCCAGACCCTGAAGAGTTCAAGCCTGACAGATTCCTGAGTGATGAGATCAGACATCCTTATGCTTACATACCTTTCAGCGCTGGACCGAGAAATTGCTTAGGTATAGTAACAATCATAATTATCAACTTATATACAATGCCCCCGTAACATTCCGCCGTGATAAAGCTATTATATCCACATTTAGCTGCCAAATTCGATTGATAAATTTTATCACAGTAGCTAACATGGCAAGCACCGCAACGTCATATTTTTGTCGCGTCACGAGCGCCGGCGACCAATGGCTCCAAAAGAATATCGTAATGCCAAATATGGCTGCAAGGTCACAGCTAATTTTAAAACATTTTGACAGTTCTGCACAGTAATTTATCAACGTAAAAATTGAGCGCGACAAACGAGATAAATGGAAATCATAAAAACTAACAAATTGACATATGTATACATATAAATTACGAGCTCTGTACCTCACCTACGGTGGGGTCGGGCTCGGCCAGCGGCGCGTGGTCAAGACGCGAGACAAGTGAAAATGACAAATCCGCACGTGTATCAAACGACGTTTGCGAAAAAAGTAAAATAAAACAGTATTTAAAAAAAAACTCATTTTCTGCTAGTAAATTAAAATAATGATATACAACCACTGCAACCACTGCGAAACAGACACTGCGATTTATCCAACTTTCGGCACGATTTGTAGTGCGAAAAATACCACGTTTTGAGCAACTGTATTAAAAAAACATTTTGTTATTAATACAAAGATCGAACACTCAGAAAAAATTCTTTGATCCGGCCGGATTCGAACCGACGTCTTCTAGTTTACCGTGTCAGACGCTATACCAACTAAGCCACGGAACGAACCAGCGAACCTCACGAATTTTTCATGTGCTTACGTCATGTTTTTGTATTTAGTTTTTCAACGACTTTTTAGTCGTAGCGCCATCTATGAGAAATCCATGAAAGATTTATCACCCAGTTAGTACCTTTACAGCTACCAGTCCTGGCGAAAGATGTCGCTATTCAGTGTATTTTAAATTTTTATTAAATTGATATTCAATCAGTTTTTGTGAAATTACTCCACTAGTTTTTTATAATTATTAATGCGAAGATCGAACATTCAGAAAAAAATCCTTCGATCCGGTCGGATTCGAACCGACGTGTCAGACGCTATGCCAACTAAGCCACGGAATGAACCAGCGGACCTCACGAATTTCTCTATGTGCTTGTTGTTCAATCTTTGTATTTAGTTTTCAACGACTTTTTAGTCGTAGTGCCATCTATGAGAAATCTATGAAAGTATTTCCTCATCCAGTTAGATATAGCTACCAGCCTAGAGTTGTCGCTATTAATTGTAATTGAATATTTATTGAATTGATATTCAATTATTTTTGTGAAATTACTCCACTATTATAAGTACAAGCAAAAATAAAAATTGATGAGGTGCAAATTCGAAATGTATCCGGAGGTAAATTTTTTCTTTTGTTTAAAAAAACTGATGTTTTCAACTGTTTTTCGTTCATCTACCATTTTCCTCATTATAGTCTGGTGAAAAGTTGTGTGTTTCGCTCGTCAACAAAGTTGTTTTGCGTCTCGTGCTTGAAACCCTGGTTACGCCCAGGAATCTATTTTTGAACCATGACCGAAGCGAGTTCTTAGCATCCCTCGCTTGCTCAGGTTTGAATAGAAGCACTCGCGTCAAATAACAACCTTGTATCCGTGCAGAAAAAATTACTATTTCTTTCTTTTGTTATTTCTACAGTGAAGTAGAAACGTAAACAATATGTATTTTTTGCGTTGTATCATAAACGTTATAATCTCCTCGAGTTGATAAAGTTTAAATTAAGTTTCAAGTTTCTGGATTGACTTCACAGCATAAGATTTAACTTTATAAATGTAAACTGTTGATAGCTTTGTTTAATATAACTCATCTGGAACTAATCCTCAATTTCAAGTTTAGTTTATGAACCAAACAATTGCCCTTCAAATTTAATATCTCGCAGGTTATTGCCCTTTTCCGTGTTGCCTTGGTTATATTAATTCCATATACCTGCACCTTTAAGGGTCTTGACTAGAAGTTTTGATTGGGCTTAGTGAAATCCTCGCCTGGGTCTATAGAGATTGTTTCGAAAAATAAAAAAAAATGATAACAAGATTGATGACCAGATCAATGGTTCCCAAAGTGGTCCACATCAATCCCCAGGGGTCCACTCCATTCTACAAGGGGTACACGCAATATCCAAAGTGATAATTATCATTGATAGATAGATAGATATACACTTTATTGTTCACACGCAAGAGCAAGACCAGTACATAAACAACTCAAAACTAATGTTCGCAAAGGCGGTCTTATCGCTAAGAGCGATCTCTTCCAGACAACGTTTGAAGTAGGGGTAAGGTAATCGGAGCGGGAGACGTAGTGTGCCAATGTACAAATAAAAATTAATCGTATAAATAAATAAAAAAACTTACATTGTAATTTATCAAATATTTAATAAATAACGATATGTTATAGCTACAAAAATATATGCATGTATAAATATACCTAACTAAACTTTTATTTACTAATAAATATATACACGTTGCAGACTAGGACCGTGTTAGAAGATATTTACGCAATCCGATTTTGAAAATAGGGAGCGGCTGAGAATGTTGCATTTCAGATCATTTGGGAGATCGTTCCACAATTGTGCAGCTATAATCGTAAAGGAATCTTTGTAATACTCAGAGCGGGTGAAAGGAGGCTTCAGTAGGTTATCCATTTTAGTTCAAAAATGTGGTCATCCGCGCGGAAACGAAAACGTTCTTGATAATTATTTTAACATAGAGTTCATAGGTTTTCGCGACTGTTACACTTATGAAAAATAAACTATTTTTTCACCTTACAGGTTCCATGGTGACAGCTGACTATGACTAAGTCAGTCGTGACCGTGGGACTCGTAAATGGCCCGAAACGCTGGTTTATTTGAAAAAGATCCGAAATTACTTACGACTTACGGAGCCGAGACTTGGAATATGACAGTAAAACTGACTCACAGACTACACGTCGCTCAGCAAGCTACGGAAAGGTCTATACTGGGTATCGTTAAGGAACAAAGTACGGGACGAAGTTGTATGATAAGACTCTTTAGTCTTGTGGACATCGTCCAGAAATGTAGCAAGCTGAAGTGGCAGTGGCTGGCCACATCTGTGGCGGAACCGTTGAGCGATGAAGTGGACGGGTTCCTTTTTTTTTTTTTTTTTTATACCTGACAGGCAAATGACTCCACTCTACCTGATGTTAAGTGGAAAGTGGTATCCAAACGCGAAGGAACCTAGTGCAGCGATGGAATCCTCACTGCACTAGCCGCCTCCACCCTGCCTGCCTACAATATGCCTCTTCACGCCTCGTTTGAAGGACCCCATATCATAAGAGGGAGGGAAGACATGTGCCGGAAGGGAGTTCCATTTGTCAACCGTGCGGCAGAGAAAGGAGCCACCGAACCTTTTAGTACGCGATGGAATGCGGCAGGTAGTGAAACGGTGACTACGAAGGCCAGCACGCGTGCTTCTGAGCAGGAACGGGGAAGGGGGGATGAGGTTGAACAGCTCCTCAGAGCACTCACCATGGTACATGCGGTAAAAGGCGCTAAGCGATGCAACATCTCTACGCAGTTGCAGAGGTTCAAGGCGTGATGAGACCTCTTCGTCGCCTATAATTCTAGTAGCACGACGCTGTAATTTATCCAAGGCATCGAGTAGGTACTTGGCGGAGCCGTCCCACAAGTGCGAACAATACTCAACGCAAGACCGGACCTGTGTTTTGTACAGCAGGCATAACTGGTCCGGCGTGAAAAAACGTCGCACCTTGTTCAGGACTCCGAGTTTCCGTGAGGCTGTTTTGATCACAGATTCGATGTAGCTCCTTGGATTCAAATCACAGCAGATTTCCATACCGAGCAAGGTGAAACTGCTCTGAGGTGAAAGTGCTGTGCTCATCAGAGAAGGCATGGGAAGGAACGGCGACAATTTTGTTGTTAACGCGCAAACCTGTGTTTTCTTGGCGTTGAACTCAACAAGATTACTGGATCCCCATGCAGATATGAGGTCCAATATCCTATTGAGTTCAACGACAAGATCAGATCGCTCTCTGTCAGTATCGGCGCGCCCAGCTGCGGGGAATCCATGATATCCCCCATGAACAGTGCTATCATCTGCATAACAATGAATATTCCCAAGTGGAAGCATATCATTGATATGCAGAAGGAAAAGCGTGGGAGATAGGACGGATCCCTGCGGTACGCCGGCGTTCACATTCACGAACCTCGAAATGCTGCCGTCAGAAACGACGCGAATTCTCCGCTCACGAAGGAAATCGGCAATCCAGCTGCATAACTGGGCTGGCAAACCGTACGCCGGGAGCTTGAAGAGAAGAGCTTTGTGCCAGACCCGATCGAACGCTTTGGCTATATCGAGGCTAACAGCCAACGATTCGCCACGTTTGTCTATAGCCTCACCCCAAATATGCAATAAGTACGCTAGAAGGTCACCCGTTGATCGTTTCGGACGAAACCCATACTGCCGATCATTTCTTTTCTTGAAAAACGTTTTCTTGAAAGACCTTTTCTTGAAAAATCCTATATACTCCGTAAAAGAATTTATGGACTTTAAATTGTAACGAATTCAGTATTTTCTATATTTTTATTTGAATTTTTACCGCATTAACATACTCTTGTATAATTGTTATCAACTTATGACGATCCTTGATGGAGAATGATATTTGATATATAATTTAATGACAACAATATTATATAATGAATTGTTAATTTTCTAATTATTGTGTGCTTTTCTCATAATTTTCCTTTTTGTCTGACGATCTCAATATAATTTCTTATACTTTGACATGTAGTGCAATTTATACTGTAATGTTATATTTGAGAAATAAATGAATCTGAATCTGAATCATTAATTATGGAGTGATCTTCTAGGTATTGGGTCAGTTGTTTATTGAGGATCCGCTCTAAAACCTTGCATATTATGGAAGTAATGGCTATGGGACGGTAATTATGCGGGTCTGATCGGTCGCCTTTTTTGGGAACTGGTTGCACATTAGCCTCTCTCCAAGAGTCCGGC